GGCTAGCAATGTGCAAACAGCTGCACTTCAATAATTCTTGAAATGACTTCACAGTCCTTCATTTTAGGACTCGGCGCGCGATGCCACGAGGCAGGGAAGTGAGAACCCACAAGACGGTATTTGAACTAACCTTTTACGGAGGGGACGAAGGCGTTGCTGCTGCTTTTATTTTATTTTATTTTATTTAGTGTTCCGAATACGCTCCAGTACTCAGAAATTTCATTTTCATATTTTTTTTATTTAATCTACCTCACTGGCTGGATGTATCTCAGCTAGCAGCCATTTCTGGGTCCTTCTGTCAACAGAAGCTGTTACAATCCCTGGTTTATTTTTTTCCTGCCCCGATTCTTTGCCAGAAATTGTTTTGAAAATAATTGGCCTGCATATTCAGGGAGACCAATATAATAATAATAATAAAAAAGGACGATAGATTGTTCTCCTCTTTTTCTAATCTGCCAGTTGAAACCCGCCGCTCCACTATGGTCCCCACCCAGGTAGCGCTCCTGCTGTGAATTTCAGATAACCTATTCTATGAACTTTCTTCTATAATCCCCCCTTTTTTTCCTTTTATAAACCAGATTACCTAAAGTAAAGCAGTTTTAGGAAAGGAAATTTGCACACACCTACTCAGCCTCCAGGCGATCAAAATAGTCCGTGCAGTGTTCTATTTCTAAAGCAAAATAAATTAGGGGCGACATATTTTATCTGAAATATAAATAAATGCACACACGCTCTGATTAGGGAGAGACAAACTTATTTCTGCTAAAAGAGAATATTTGTAGCTCAGGGCTGAAATGTGGAGTCCTTGGTGCACTCTGAGCTTGGTTGTTTTCTTGAATAAGGGCAAAGCCCCAACTCTCTTGTAGTGCTGATAATGTTAACTAGTTTGGTAATGAAACGTCTGCACGAAAACCACCAAGCTCAGAGAGCACCGAGTACCCCGCTGGTTCTTTCTATCTGCCCATTTCTAACTTGCATTTGTGAGACTTTTAAAAGAGAGGTACATTTACCAGGACAGGGGCATCCATGAATAGAATAGAATAGAGCTGGAAGGGACCTTGGAGGTCTTCTAGTCCACCCCCCTGCTCAAATAGGAGACCCTACCATCTCAGACAAGTGACTGTCCAATCTCTTCTTAAAAACCTCCAGTGATGGAGCCCCCACAATTTCTGGTGGCAAGTTGTTCCGCTGGTTCAATGTCCACACTGTTAGGAAGTTTCTCCTTAATTCCACGTTGCTTCTATAATAACAATAATAATAAAGTTGGAAGGGACCTTGGAGGTTATCTAGTCCAACCCCCTGCTCAGGCAGGAAACCCTACACCGTTTTGGACAAATGGCTGTCCAGTCTCTTCTTAAAAACCTCCAGTGTTGGAGCATTCGCCGCTTCTGGAGGCAGGTTGTTCCACTGGTTAATTGTTCTCACTGTCAGGAAGTTTCTCCTTAGTTCTAGGTTGCTTCTCTCCTGGATTAGTTCTCTCTTTGGTCAGTTTCCAGAGTGTCCAAAAAAGTCAAGATGATATCCATGACTTTGTAACTGAAGTCCTTCTTCTTTGCATGTGAAGTGTGCGTGCAACACATGTGTTGCAGACTTTTGAATGCATCTCAAAGGAGTCCTAATGCTTTTGTGGGTCCCCCTGAGATGCAGCTGTATTAATTCCTGCTCATGCACAGTCCGTGTGTTTAGCTTCCTTAAGTGACACATTATAGAATCAGAAGACCAGCCGTCTCTCTAGAGGGTATACCGTAAACTCAAAGTTTCACCAAATTCTATGCCAGTGATCTAGAAATAAGCGTAGCTTCTAAACTTCCAGTGAAATCAGTGGAGTATAGGAAGACTTAACTGAAAATAATATTCAATCAGTTGCTCAAGAAGAAAGTCTGTATTTCTATGCTCTGCCGAATGAAAAACAAAATCCTTGCTGAAATTACTTGTAGCACGAGAATTGAGGCATTTGGCTAAATTTATGAAGTACAGATAATCTGTCCCCAAAGATGCTTTTTCATGAGGCAACTGGACTTTCTTGTTTTTCTTTGAAGACGTTTCGCTTCTCATCCCAGAAGCTTCTTCAGTTCTGACTGGATGTGGGAAAAGGAAGGATTTATACTCCTTGCAGACTGCTGGTCATCTGCCTTCTTTTAGAGAGTCTTTGAGGCCACTTGGAGGTTTAGCTGTGTCCTCAGGGTTACCTGAGCGGTGCAAATGGGCGTGGAGCCTTCTTGGAACTACCGAAAGGACCGTGTTGTAGACTGGAGATAGATGATGTCGTATCCCTCCCCCTCTGTTGCCAACACAACATAAAGGTGGACAAGCTTCTGCCTTAGTGGATTCTTGGGCAAAGGATGGAAACTAATCAAGGAGAGAAACAACCTGGAACTAAGGAGAAACTTCTGGACAGCGAGAACAATTAACCAGTGGAACAACCTGCCTCCAGAAGCGGTGAATGCTCCAACACTGGAGGTTTTTAAGAAGAGACTGGACAGCCATTTGTCCGAAACGGTGTTGGGTTTTCTGCCACTAAGGCAGAAGCTTGTCCACCCAAAGGATGGAACACCCAAACAAGAACTGAGCAGTGTGGTATATGCAGTACAATGCAGTGAGACACGTGTGACTATGTACATTGGGGAAATGAAACAAGCCCTCCACAAACTCATGGCGCAACGTAGGAGAACAAGAACATCAGGAGAAGATTCAGCAGTTCATCTGCATTTGAAAGACCAAGCCACTCTTTGGAAGACAGCAAAGTCCACATTCTGGACAGAGAGGACCGCTGGCTTGAAAGAGGCCACCTAAGTCCAAACTGAACAGCCCTCTCTCAACAGAGGGGGAGGGATACGACAACACACACCTCCTGTGTACAACACAGTCCTTTCAGCAGTCCCAAGAAGGCTCCACACCCATTTGCACCACTCAGGTGACCCTAACGACACAGGTAAACCTCCAGGTGGCCTCCAGGACTCTCTAGGCAAATGACCAACTGTCTGCAAGGAGGAGGAGGAGGAGGAGGAGACCTCCAAGGTCCCTTTCAACTCTATGATTCTATGTCCTATGAGTGTATTTTCGCTCTGACCAGAGAGACAGAAATTACCTCAGTGCTAAGGGAAATAAAGCAGGAAAACCCTTTCCAGTCAATGCTGAAAAATCGAAATTTCATTACTGACATATCCCCTTGCATGAATAAGTGGGAAACAATGAAAAATATAGAAGAACACAGGAAGGATTACACCTGGAGTGGTTCCACATCAAATAGTTGCTCGCAGATCAATAGGCTGCTGCCCCGGGTCCTTTTTCTAGATTGTTTTTTTTTTATTAGCTACAAACATAAACCTGTACAAATCTTTCTTCCCTCCCCAATGAGGGCATTTTCTGAACACGGAATCCTTTTATTGCTCTTTCTCCAAGAAGCATAAACAAGATGGCATCAAATGCTAGACCAGACCTATGAAAACATAATCCGTTTCCAGCACAGGTGTTATAATCCGTGAGGGGGAGTCTCTTCCTCTTAAAAATATGGATTTTACTGCACAGTTCTGTGCCATAAAACGATGGAAGGAATAGAATAGAACAGAATGCAATGGAAATAGGAATAGGAATAGGAATAAGAAGAGAAGAGAAGAGAAGAGAATAAAAAATATGGAATGGGATAGAATGGAATGGGAGAAGAGTGGAGAAGGGAAGGGAAGGGAAGGGAAGGGAAGGGAAGAGAAGAGAAGAGAAGAGAAGAGAAGAGTTGGAAGGGACCTTGGAGGTCATCTAGTCAAACCCCCTGCTCAGGCAGGAAACCCTATACCATTTTGGACAAATGGCTGTCCAGTATCTTCTTAAAGACTCCCAGTGTTGGAGCATCCACAGCTTCTGGAGGCAAGTGGTTCCACTGTTAATTGTCCTCACCGTCTGGAAGTTAGTTCCAGGTTGTTTGATTAGTTTCCATCCGTTGCTTCTTGTCCTGCCTTCAGGTGCTTTGGAGAATAGCTTGACTCTCTCTTCTTTGGGGCAGCCCCTGAGATATTGTAACACTGCTATCATGTCCCCCCATATCCCATTTGACCAGATCTCTCAGGGTTCAAGGAAGGCAGTAAAGATAGTCCTCGATTTACAACAGTTCATTTAGTGACAATTCAAAGTTATGACGACACTGAAAAATGTGACTTACGGCCGTTTTTCACATTTAGGACCGTTGCAGCCTCCCCATGGTCACGGGATCCAAATTCAGATGCTTGGCCACTGACTCACATTTATGATGGTCGCAGTGTCCCCCAGAGGTCACGTGATTCCCTTTTGCGACCTTCTGACAGACAAAGTCAACGGAAGTGCCAGATTCACTAAAACAACCCGTGTTCCTAACTTAACAATGCAATGATTCACTTAACCAGTGCAGCGAGAAAGGTTGTAAAATGGGGCAAATCTCAATTAACAAGTCTCTCACTTAGCATTATTAATTTGGGGCTCAGTTGTGGCTGTAAGTCAAGAACTACCTGTATATTCACCACAATGTAAAAAAGATGTGGAGACTCTAGAAAGAGTGCAGAGAAGAGCAACAAAGATGATCAGGAGACTGGAGGCCAAAACATATAAGGAGCGGTTGCTAGAATTGGGGATGTCTAGTTTAATGAAGAGAAGGACGAGGGGGGACATGATAGCAGCCTTCCAATATCTCAGGGGCTGCCCCAAAGAAGAGGGAGTCAAGCTGTTCTCCAAAGCGCCTGAAGGCAGGACGAGAAGCAATGGATGGAGACTAATCAAGGAGAGAAGCAACCTTGAACTAAGGAGAAACTTCCTGACAGAACAATTAACCAGTGGAACAACCTGCCTCCAGAAGCGGTAAATGCTCCAACACTGGAAGTTTTTAAGAAGAGATTGGACAGCCATTTGTCTGAAATGGTCTAAGGTTTCCTGCCTGAGCAGGGGTTTGGACTTGATGACCTCCAAGGTCCCTTCCAACTTTATTATTATTGCTATTATTATTTCAGAAACAAAGAGAGAAGGAACTACAATTTTACCTGCGTCCTCCACCCTCAGCTTCTTATTACTGGGATTTTCATCGCTGTCATCGTCCGACATGTCCATCTCTTCTTCTCTCCTGATCCCCATCAGTTGTTCGCTGTGAGCGTTCCTGAGTTCCTAAAAGAAAGCAAAACCCAACAAAAAAACAAAAAAACTTTACTTTGTCAGTCGTGGCAGAAGCCAAAAATTCCACTTCCTGAAGTCAATTCGCTCCCTTTGAAAGGGCCACATCCCGTCTTGTCCCTTTCGCTCAATTCGCTCCCTTTGAAAGGGCCACATCCCGTCTTGTCCCCTTCGCTCAAAAGAGCACTTTAGCGATGCTGATGGAGATACGTTATTAATGTGTAGTTTTTCAAATTATGACGTTCTGCCTCGATGACGCTAGGTTTAAGTTACAGACTAATTTGATTTTTAGGAGGGACGTGTTAACATAAAACGGTAATACGTTTTGGTAGAGCCTGACAAAGACATGGTTTTAAAAAATTAAGTACTTTGAAGAGATAATGATATTATTTTTTTAAAAAAACAACCCACTTTAGGAGGGTCCTGCCCTTTCTTGCTCAATATCTATTATTTGATTTTGAGAGAAGGATGGCAGATTGAAAATGGAAACAGAAAGAAGAGCGTGGAAAACCTCACAGGCTGTTTTAGCTTCAGCCTAAAATTGCGGATACTTAGGTTAGACATTTCAAGTCCTATAGCGGAAAGCTTAAGCTCTTCATCCAAATGACTAAAAAAAAAATGTTGCCGTGAGGCATGGCCAAAGTCAAATAGCACTGGGAACAATTTATCTATACTAGGTTGCTGTCCTTCATCTAATTATTATACTGTGGGGGTCCTTGGTGCTCTCTCAGCTTCATTGTTTTCTGACAGACATTTCATGACCCAACTAGGTAACATCATCAGTGCTAGAATGGAGGGTGAGTTCTGGAGACGAGGAGGAGGAGGAGGAAGAGGAGGAGAGGAGGAGGAGGAAGAAGAAGAAGAAGAAGAAGAAGAAGAAGAAGAAGAAGAAGAAGAAGAAGAAGAAGAAGAAGAGAAGGAGAAGGAGGAGGAAGAGGAGAAGAAGAAGACAAAGAAGAAGAAGAAGAAGAAGAAGAAGAAGAAGAAGAAGAAGAAGAAGAAGAAGAAGAAGAAGAAGAAGAAGAAGAAGAGGAAGAGGAGGAGGAAGAAGAAGAGGAGGAGGAGAAGAAGAAGAAGAAAAGGAGGAGGAGGAGGAGGAGGAGAAGAAGAAGAAGAGGAAGAGGAAGAAGAAGAAGAGGAAGAGGAAGAAGAAGAAGAAGAAGAAGAAGAAGAAGAAGAAGAAGAAGAAGAAGAAGAAGAAGAAGAAGAAGAAGAAGAAGAAGAAGAGGAGGAAGAGGAGGAAGAAGAAGAAGAAGAGAAGGAGGAGGAGAAGAAGAAGAAAAGGAGGAGGAGGAGGAGGAGGAGAAGAAGAAGAAGAGGAAGAAGGAAGAAGAGGAAGAGGAAGAAGAAGAAGAAGAAGAAGAAGAAGAAGAAGAAGAAGAAGAAGAAGAAGAAGAAGAAGAAGAAGAAGAAGAAGAAGAAGAAGAAGAAAGAAGAAGAAGAAGAAGAAGAAGAAGAAGAAGAAGAAGAAGAAGAAGAAGAAGACTGTGGGGTTCTTGTTGCTCTCTGAGCTTGGGATTTTCTTGCAGACATTACCCAACTAGGTAATATTATCAGTGATCAAGGGGAGTGTGGTTTGTTCTCTGTTCGTATAAAAGTGGCTTGCCTGTCAGTGTTAGTGGAAATGTTCTTCGTTAGGCTGTTATTTATTGTTTGATTGTTTGTCTCAGTTGGCAGTTCCTTGGTTGGGATATTGTTTATTGCTGGATTGTTGGTATTAATCTTGGCGTTGATCTCTGCTTATCTGGGTATTGATTGCTGGCAAAGAGGTATTGTGGTCTTTTGGCTTTTTGATTGTCACTTTTGAATGGTATGTAAATGCTATTTATCTCTATGTGCCTGTTGATGGTCGATTTGCCTGCAGGCTGAGCTTCCAGGAATTCTCTAGCATTTTTTGAACTTAGCTTGGTCTAGGATGCTCCCAGCGTCCCCGTTGAAACTATGATTAAGTATAGTAATGATTATACCTTTAAGGTTTAAATGACTTTAAAAGAGAGTTTGAAAGTTGTGGCAATAACAGATTCTGCGTGTGATGTTAAAGCCAAAGCATCTCCTTTGGGTCATGCCTTTTGAAAGCTCGCATCCTTTCCGAAATAAATTCTTCCTGTTTAAACTATGAACTTATCTATTTTGTGTGACCTTGATGGAAAGGAATCGGGATGCAGCACTCCTGCATAAAACTGTTCCAGAAATTAGTTCGTATCAGATAAATCCATTTTACAGCACCAGAGAGAGATGAAGGCCTCGGGCTTATGTACGTTTGTGAAGCCCATCTTCAGAAAAATTACCAATAGGAAAGAGAACACGGGAATGCAAACCACATGCACACGGGCTTCATATTGAGTTGTTTTTTTCCCCTTCTCAGTAAAGGTGACATTATAGCTCTCTTCCCTAATGGGGGCACAAGGAATGAGAGAATTCACGTTTAATCTAATAATTGTTGTCAGGTGGAACACAAGGATATAGACCAGGGGTGTGAAACTCAGTTTCACTGAGGGCCACATCAGCATTGTGGTTGCCCTCGGGGGGCCAGGTGAGTGTGGCCAGGGTGGGTCCAGCCTACTGGGTGGGTGTGGATGGAGTGGGTGTGGCCTACTGGGTGGGCATGGCCAGCTCTACATCATTCAAGGGTGCCTGTGGGGGCCTGGGCAGGAGTGGGACAGATCTAAGGGTCTCTGGCAGAAGGGGGTGGGACCGGGGCAAGTGCCAAGGCATGGTCCATTGGGGCAAGTGCCAAGATGGCCACCACAAAATTGTACATTGGCTCCTGGCTGGCCTGGGCCAAGGTAGTGGATGCCGTTCCCTCACTGTTTCCAGGATGGCTTCGTGGGCCACAGGAAACCACTTCGTGGGCCACATCTGTCCCCCGGGCCTTGTGTTTGACATGTCTGATATAGACCAATGATGAGTGCAGCACTTTCTGGTCCAGAGACAGCCATTTTTTCTATTGAAAAAAGCCCAGTTCCCAGGGAGGTGATTTAAAATCTTTGGAAGAAGAAAAGAGAAGTCACTTCTGAGAAATAAGGGTGGTGTGCTATTTTATTCCTTGCAATAAATGTGCTAGGTTATCCCTTGCAATTAATGAGCGGCTCAAATAGTTTGTTGTAGAGATGCATCAATAAAATAATCCATTATCCTAGGGGCGCGTGCGGCCCTTAATCACCGCAGAAGTGCTGAAGCTGAGGGATGCAAGTTTTTTCCATACAAGGACTTGGAAACTCAAGAATAGCTCTCCAGTTTATTAGAACAGGGCTGCCCTAATAAATCCAATTTGCATTCTGTTCCAGAGACATTAGGAACTGTTTGGTCCAAACAACATATCTGTTTGTCTCAGATGGAAGAACCTAGAATATAATACACAGACCTAGATAATTGCCTGATTAGTTAATCACAAGGGTGGACATATGCCTGGCAGCCTGGTGTCATAGGAGTGGGGACAGGGCCAGAGCATTGTGTGACTGGAGTTATTTCGGAAGAAGGCAACATGAGTAGAAGACTCTCAACTAAGGGACCAAGAAGTATCTAACTGACTTCTGAAATTTGGAACCATTGCCTGGAGCAGGGGTCTGCAAACTCAGCCACTTTAAGACTTATGGACTTCAACTCCCCATAATTCCATGGCTGGCTGAGGAATTATGGAATTGTGGGAGTTGAAGTCCATAAGTCTTAAAAGCGGTCAAGTTTGTAGACCACTCGCCTTGAGTGAAAAAGTGACTTCTAAACTATGGTGCTGGAGAAGACTCCTGTTAGTCTCTTGGGCCGCAAGGCATTCAAACTGGTCAGTCGTAGAAGAGATCAACCCCGACTGCTCTTTAGAAGGCCAGATCCTGAAGTGGAAACTCAAGTACTTTGGCCACCTGATGAGAAGGAAGGACTAGAACTCATCATTCTTAGTGATTGGCCCAAGGTCACCCAGCTGGCTTTCACGCCTAAGGCAGGACTAGAACTCCCTATCACCTGGTGATTGGTCAAAAGTCATCCAGCTGGCTTTCATGGCTAAGGCAGAACTAGAACTCACAGTCTCCCGAGGATTGACCCCAAATCACCCAGCTGGCTCTCGTGCCTAAGGCAGGACTAGAACTCACCTTCCCTAGTGATTGGCCCAAAGTCACCCAGCTGGCTTTCATGCTAAGGTGGGACTAGAACTCCCAGTCTCCTGGTGATTGGTTAAAAGTGACCCAGCTGGCTTTCGTGGCTAAGGCAGGACTAGAACTCACAGTCTCCCGGGGATTGGCCCCAAATCACTCAGGCTTTTGTCCCTAAGGTGGGACTAGAAGTCACCATCTCCCAGTTCCTAGCCCGGCGCCTTAACCATTAGACTAAACTGACTCTCTTTCCGAATCAGAGAGATGCCTGCTGGGTCTTGGGAACAGGCGAAGGGTAGACACGCAAACAGTTCTGGGAGAGCGTTTTTGTCCTTACAGCTTTATTACTTTTAAAAAAGAGAAAAGCAAGGGACAGGGGAATAACCGCCATTAAAAATTCAAGGACGCTTTGGTGAAAAGAAAAATAGAGTGTCTTGAATGCATCGTGGCAGATTAAATATTTAAACGTTAAGGAATTAATTCTCACCGTGAATATTTTCAACGTAGCGTGTGGGGCAGGTGTATCAAATAAGCTTCAACGTTAATGGTTGTTTTTTTT